ACCCACCGGGCACTGTGGAGGACTAGGGTCGGTACGCAACGCCCGCTCGATTTCCGCATCGACCTCCCACACTACCGGTGCCACCAGACAAGACTCCGGCAGTATGGGAGTGGGCTCCACGGACCTCTCCTCCGTGTCATACCGCCGAGACAGTGCGTCTGCCTTACCGTTCTGGGACCCAGGGATGTACGTGATCTTAAATACGAAACGGGCTAAAAACATGTTCCACCGCGCCTGGCGAGGGTTCAATCTCCTAGCTGCCCGGATGTACTCCAGGTTACGGTGGTCAGTCAAAATGAGAAAAGGGTGTTGAGCCCCCTCAAGCCAATGCCTCCACACCTTTAGGGCCTGTACCACGGCTAACAGCTCCCTGTCCCCTACGTCATAATTTCGCTCCGCCGGGCTGAGCTTTTTGGAGTAAAAAGCACAGGGGCGGAGTTTAGGTGGCGTGCCGGACCGTTGCGAAAGTACGGCCCCAATACCGGCCTCTGACGCGTCAACCTCTACCTGAAATGGTAAAGAGGGATCCGGATGCGCCAGCACCGGAGCCGAAGTAAACAGGTCCTTCAGTCTCCCAAAAGCCCTGTCCGCCTCGGCTGACCACTGCAGACGCACGGGACCCCCCTTCAACAGAGACGTTATGGGAGCTGCCACCTGTCCAAAACCCCGGATAAACCTCCGGTAGTAATTTGCAAACCCCAAAAACCGCTGCACCTCTTTAACAGTGGTTGGAGTTTGCCAATTACGCACGGCTGACACACGGTCTACCTCCATCTTCACCCCTGACGCAGACAACTGATAACCCAAAAAGGAGATCGACTCCTGGAAAAACAGACATTTCTCTGCCTTGACATACAGGTCGTGCTCCAACAGCCTCCTCAACACTCGACGCACCAGGGCTACATGCTCGGCTCGGGTGGAAGAGTACACAAGTATGTCATCAATGTACACGACCACACCCTGCCCCTGCATGTCCCTGAAAATCTCATCTACGAAGGATTGGAAGACTGAAGGAGCGTTCATCAACCCGTATGGCATGACGAGATACTCATAATGACCTGAGGTGGTACTAAATGCTGTCTTCCATTCATCGCCCCCTCTAATGCGCACCAAGTTGTATGCGCTCCTGAGATCTAGTTTTGTGAAGAAACGCGCCCCGTGCAATGACTCAGTCATAGTCGCAATCAGCGGGAGTGGATAACTGTATTTCACCGTGATCTGATTGAGACTACGGTAATCAATGCACGGGCGCAAACCTCCATCCTTCTTCTTCACAAAAAAGAAGCTTGAGGACGCAGGGGAAGTGGATGGCCGTATGTATCCTTGTCTCAGAGATTCAGCTATGTAAGTCTCCATAGCTCTCTTCTCCTCCTGAGACAGAGGATACACATGGCTCCGTGGAAGCGCTGCTCCTGCCTGGAGGTCTATCGCACAATCTCCCTGCCTATGGGGAGGCAACTGCGTCGCCCTCGATTTACTGAACACGATTGCCAAATCCTCATACTCGGGGGGAATGTGCAGTGCGGGCACCTGGTTTGGACTCTCCACCGAGGTCGCCCCCACGGAAACACCTAGACATCGCCCCACACACTGGGCAGACCACTCCTTAAGAGCCCTCTCTTGCCACGAAATAGACAGATTATGGGTAATCAACCAGGGGAGCCCCAACACCACCGGATACGCAGGAGAGTCAATCAGATATAGCTGAATAGTTTCCTCATGACCCCCCTGCGTCCTCATCCTAAGTGGCGCAGTGACCTCCCTAATCAACCCCGATCCCAAGGGACGGCTGTCTAAAGCATGGACAGGAAATGGGGCATCGACCGGAAGAAGGGGAATCCCTAGTTTTAAACAAAAATGTCGATCAACAAAATTCCCAGCTGCGCCTGAATCGACTAGCGCCTTATGCTGGGAATGAGGTGCAACCTGTGGAAAATGTACAGGTAAACAGACGTGCACAACAGAGAGCTCTGGGTAAGTGGGACGCCTACTCACCTGGAATGACTCCCCAGTGCGTGGCCTGTCGTCCTCTCCCCTAGGAGACCCTCCCCAGCACCGAGCCGCAGTGTGCCCTCCACGGCCACAGTTGGTGCAGGGAACAGCCCCCCTTGGGCTCCTCCGCCTCCTCTCTCTAGCGCCAGCACCTCCGAGCTCCATAGGGCTCGGCTCGGAGGTGCTGGAGGGTGGAATGGACGACCCCCACTCGGTGCGTCCGCGGGTAGCCAGCAGGGTGTCAAGCCGGATGGACATGTCCACCAGCTGGTCGAAGGTAAGATGGGAATCCCTGCAGGCCAACTCTCGACGGACGTCCTCCCGTAGACTACATCGGTAGTGGTCGATGAGGGCCCGCTCATTCCACCCTGCATCCGCTGCTAGAGTCCGGAACTCCAGGGCGAACTCCTGTGCGCTCCTCCTCTCCTGTCGAAGGTGGAACAGACGCTCCCCCGCCGCCTTCCCCTCTGGTGGATGGTCGAACACGGCCCTGAAGCGGCGGGAGAACTCCGCGTAGGTGATGGTGGCGGCGTCTATTCCCCTCCATTCGGCGTTAGCCCACTCTAACGCCTTGCCGGTGAGACAGGAGATGAGGGCGGAGACGCTCTCGTATCCCGAGGGCGCCGGGTGTATGGTGGCCAGGTAGAGTTCCACCTGCAGGAGGAACCCCTGACATCCGGCTGCGGTACCATCATATGCCCTCGGGAGCGAGAGCCGAATACCGCTGAGTTCCGGTGCTGGAAGAGGAGGACTGGTCGATGTTGATGGTAAGGTGTGCGGAGGTGTGGGCACCTCTCTGGTGACCAAACGGTGCAGAGTGTTCGCCACCTCGTTCATGGCGGCCTCAAGTCGCCAGATCATGGTGTCTTGATGGCTGATCCGTTCCTCCAGCGACTTGGGTGCCGCCGCTGCTTCTGCTGACTCCATAGTGGTGTGTTATTCTGTCACAACGGCTGATATAGATGTGGTGAAGGAGTCAAACGCAGACACAGAAGCTCAGTCCAATACTTTACTGAACACTACCAAAAATATACAAAACACTGGCCTCAAAACAAACAAGAGGCGGACGATGCGCAACAATGCGCAAAAGGCTAGTATTCCAAGGCGCACGAAAACAGTACAGTGCGACGACAGGGAAAACAACAAACAAACAACGAGCCGACCTGATGACAGGCGAACAATAACACACAACACAAAACTAACCAAACGGGAAACTTATAGAGGACATAATCAACTAAACAGGACACAGGTGTACACAATCAGACAAAACCAACAGACAGCGAAAACATCAAACGGTGATAGCTAGTACTCCGGGGACGACGACCGCCGAAGCCTGCCCGAACAAGGAGGAGGAGCAGCCTCGGCCGAAACTTTAGTCATGTTCAGAGAACGTTCTAAGAATGTTATCTAAAAACACATTACAATTCTCAAAACATTAAGAAAACTTTCCATTAAAACCACTGGCATGCTAGCTCCATCCTGGTGGTGCAGTGGACTAATTAGTAGACTAATTAGAGAACAGAAGATTATAGGTTTGAATATTACATTTGACATTTTAGTCATTTAGGAGACGCTCTTATCCAGAGCGACTTACAGTTAGTGAGTGCATACATTTTTCATACTGTTGTAAGAATATTACTGATGCTGTGTCACAATAAATAAATACAATTGTTTGCATGATTAATGCCTAAGGAAATTAATTTCCATGTGTCCTATCTGTGCTTGGAGTTCAAAAAAGTTTACCCCAAATAAGCTAGCAGTGTTATTAAAAGTATTATTGAAACATTTAGTGTAAGTTCTAAGGAAGTTATTAAAAACCTCCAAATAACCAATAATTTCTGTTCTCAGACCGTTAATTAAACCTCCAAGGAAAACTTTCAAGGAACCAGAGTAAAACAATCTCAGAACCTCCCTGTAAGCTAAAAATACATTTTCCCAGAACAGGCAACATTTTCACTTCTGTTCTAGGAACATTTAAAAAAACGTTCAGTTTTACCGGTCAGGAAACGTATGGCTTCGTTCCCACAACCAATGTGAAACCAAAAACCTACGTTCCCACAACTTCCAATTAACCAAATGTGCTAGCTGGGTAAAAACTTTACATTTAGATTTACATTTTAGTAATTTAGCAGACGCTCTAATTCAGAGCGACTTACAGTTAGCGAGTGCATACATTTTCATACTTTACCCTGGATTTATGTACATAAACCATATATCTGGTACTTCCCTGAATATAGCTCCATTCTTGTGTATTTTATTCCTCTTGTGTTAGGTCTACTATTTTTAGTGCATCGTTGGGAAGGGCTCATAAGCAAGCATTTCACGGTAAAGTCTACACCCGTTGTATTCGGCGCATGTGACAAATACAATTTCATTAGATGTTTGTTTTTTTACAGCTACATAATATCCGGAGTAGACTAGCTCCTCATCGCAGTGCATGGGATACTGATGCTTGTAGCATGTCACATTTAAGGGCCCAAGCCATGGGTTTAGCCTAAAAACAATTAGAATTGTAGCTGAATGTTTTTTCCCATCGAGTTTATGTGTCTTTTGGCACTGTATGGAACTCGACATCCTTTTGTAAAATAAACACAGTTGCTGCCGATCTGTTCCTTTGCTTTCAAGCTTCCTACTTGCTGAGGCAATCTTACTACATCCCATCCCAATTTTCACATTTTGATATAGGCCTATAGCGCAGCAAAGTCTAGCCTACATTTTGGGTGAATGTGTTATTATCTATTAGCAGTTCAATCAATGCATCGGTTAGTTAGGATAAATAACAAACACTGATTGATTCGAATGGTTCCTTCCATTCCCCGCCAGGCTTAGGTTTTATTGTTGAGTGGCACGTGGGCGCGCGCCTGCTCGCGTCCCCGCTGTTCCTCTCTTTACCAACACGCTGCTTGCGTAGTGTCTCAAACTCTACCGGTTTCTCTCATCTCACGGGTTCCGCGTCGCTCTCCAGTCGGCAGTTAACATCAACAACCCGCTATTTCATCAGAATCATAATGAGGCTTTCTACACTTCGCAATGCCTGCCGCAATGTACCGATCCCATCCGTACACCAACCTCGTACGGGAGTCAAGGTGTTCGGTTTGGCGAAGAGATCTATACGGCTGGGTCATTCCAGCAACAGCCAGTTGCTTTTCCGGGCTGCTAGTTCCATAAGCGGCCCAACCTCCGCGGAAGCAGCGCTCACGTTCGGAAAGCAACCAAAGAAAACGGATGGACCGGGATACGAAAATACTATCAGGTAACGTTAAACAATGCTTTTCAATATATTTCAGTCGTAAATTATTTTTACCATTCGTAACATGAACGAATGGCCAACTCACTTATTTCTGAATGTAGCCAGCTAACGCGTTAGCTAGTTGTGCCAGCTAGCATCTTATTCGATGAATACAGCGAACATCCACGCTACTTGTAATGTTGTATTTCATGGGATGTAGCCAGTTTAATTAATTAAAGTTGCTACAGTAGCTCGTCTTCCTGATTAGGCTTGTAGCCAACGTAACTTCCCACGTGTGATCGGCATCTTTTAAGGAGTTGTTAACTAACAACCACCACCCAGCTGATGTAACTTTCCACTGTTTCACACACGTGGAATTGTAGCATATTGTAACTGATAAATTACAACGTTTCCGGTAAAGGCTACAAACAAATGTTTCACAATTCATTGTTTACATGATGGTTGCCATATTTTTTATTTTTTTATTTTTATTTTTTATTTCACCTTTATTTAACCAGGTAAGCCAGTTGAGAACAAGTTCTCATTTACAACTGCGACCTGGCCAAGATAAAGCAAAGCAGTGCGATAAAAACAACACAGAGTTACATATGGGGTAAAAAAAAACATAAAGTCAAAAATACAACAGAAAATATATATACAGTGTGTGCAAATGTAGCAAGTTATGGAGGTAAGGCAATAAATAGGCCATAGTGCAAAATAATTACAATAGTATTAACACTGGAATGCTAGATGTGCAAGAGATTATGTGCAAATAGAGATACTGGGGTGCAAAAGAGCAAAATAAATAACAATATAGGGATGAGGTAGTTGGGTGGGCTAATTTCAGATGGGCTGTGTACAGGTGCAGTGATCGGTAAGGTGCTCTGACAACTGATGCTTAAAGTTAGTGAGGGAGATAAAGAGTCTCCAGCTTCAGAGATTTTTGCAATTCGTTCCAGTCATTGGCAGCAGAGAACTGGAAGGAATGGCGGCCAAAGGAGGTGTTGTACAAGGAGGTCAGTGTACATTCTCCATTCCCCATTGCTGGCTTTGACTCCACCTACAGTAGTAGGCTACTTGCCACAGATCACAAAGTCCCCACACACACTGTCAGGAAAAGTGTAGTTAATTTTTACTAATAATATGATCACAAGTATCATTTCACAAAATATTTGCATATGTTGTTTTTCTTTTGTTGTTCAATCCCTTTATTTGATTGATCAAACTGTCACTGTAGCCACCAATACATTCTAGAACAATCTAGATGTACACCTCCTGTCCTTGTAAACATGATATCTGACTACAATCCAATCATAATGGTAGAGCTTTGTCATGCCAAGGGTTCTCTTTTGTTTTCGGCTGCTTTCTCCATAGCTTGCCCATAGGGCTAAATGTGAAAATATGTGGTCTTCAGTGTGGATGAGTGGGTTTTTCTGACTCTGGCTTCTCTTGCAGGGAGAATGTTCGAACGACCAAAGAGGAGATGGTGGCTTTGCAGAGGGGCCACCCTGCACTCAAACCTATGCTGGCTATCATACAGGTAAACAGGCATTAGCCTACCATCTGCAGCTCACTGTGGCCTTAAATTACTTCTGCCTCTATTCTGTGCTGTCAATGTGCTTGTCAGTTGGGGTGGGCTGGGTATTGATGGGTTATTCTAGGGTCTCCTGTGATTTTGTTTTATTGAACCTTTTGGTGTGTGTCTGTGTTGCTCACTGCTTTGTATTCTTGTCTCAAAGGCAGATGAGGATGACAGTTTACTGGAAATCAACAAGAAGATGGCTGGAAAGGTACATTAAGTCATTCTGTCTACATCTCTTTATCTTTAAAAATGTTTTACTATTACGCTACTCTTTCTTTAGAAGTAAAGTTATCTGTTGGTGTTTTCCCACTGTTAATTTCCCAGAATCCCTCTTTCCATAGATTGGCCTGAACATGACTCAGATCTGCTTGCCCAGAGAATGCACTGAAGATGAGGTGAGTCAAACAAGCCAATACCTACTACACAAATTCCCACCACAATCCAACAACACTCACTGTGATTGGACACCAAGTCATTGGCTGTTGCCTTCTTCCCACCCTTCCCTGCAAGTCAAATCCTGCCTGACATTTCACTTTACTGTTTGTTTGTCTGTGTGAGTGTGTCTGTTTGTGTGTATCAGGTGAATGCATCTGCATATCTTGTTCTTCCATTGCCTCTCTAATGAGTCAAGCCACACAGTCTCTCTCAATTATCAATATGTATTGGACATAATGTAATGGATCTCCCCCGAATACTAGATAGAGTTGTTGTGGAAAATTGTCGAATTTCTTTTAACACAGTACCTTAAGGAGGTTCCTTCCTTCTCAGCTGTGGACCTGGGAATCACCCTTTTCCAAAGTAGGGTGATGATCCTGGTCCTGTGTGTATTAGGGGAATGGAGTGGCGCAGTGCTAGCTGTGCCACTATAGATCCTGGTTCGAATCCAGGCTCTGTCGTAGCCGGCCGCGACCGGGAGACCCATGGGGCGGCGCACAATTGGCCCAGCGTCATCCAGGGGAGGGGAGGGAATGGCCGGCAGGGATGTAGCTCAGTTGGTAGAACATGGCGTTTGCAACGCCAGGGTTGTGGGTTCGATTCCCACGGGGGGGCAGTATGAAAAAATAAATGTATGCACTAACTGTAAGTCGCTCTGGATAAGAGCGTCTGCTAAATGACTAAAATGTAAATATATGGCCACGGCCTCAGGAGCCTTCTGAGGTGTCTGCTGCTCTACTTTCACTCTGTCCTCAGTGCATGTGTTTTCTCCTTCTCTCTCCCTCCATGTTTCTTTACCTCTACCAACCCACTCACTTTCCAGGGGCAGCTGAGGCCACTATCTGTTGCCTGAGTGGTTGACCTCTCACATCAAGAGTGCACACTTTTAGACATCAACGGCCACATTCTTGCTAGTTTACCTTTTATTATTTAACTCAAGTCATTTCTCCCTCCCAATTCCACCCCACTCTCTTTCTCCTTATCCCGCTCACCGACACCCTCCCTCTTTCTTTGTGTAGATTATAGAGGAGGTGTTGAAGCTGAATGAGGATCCCAAGGTGCATGGTGTGTACCTCCACCTACCCCCTGCCTCACTCACCAGCCGGGTTCTCAACACACTCAAACCAGAGAAGGACGTGGACGGGTAATGCATTCATTCCTTCATTACAAACACAGCTCAGCGTACTATATATAACAACATGTTCATACAATGTTTTAATTAGTGTAATTACAGCATTACTACACAGGTATCAGAGCTTTACCATTAATGAATATGTTGAAGCCTATCCCTTTCTGTCCTGAGTTTGTGTGCCTCTTGCCCTGTGGAGTTTAAATGCATTTGCTGCCATGCTGCCTTGAATTTGGTCCAAATCAGAATGTGCTGCAGGACATTAACAGCACGTCAGAGAGACAGTACTGTGGGCTATTGTAGAGCAACTAAAACATGACCCAAAGACAGGAAATGACAGAGAAACATTCTCTATTATAGGACTACAGCAGTTGCCTTAGAAAGATGGACAACATTTTTCATCTTAAATCACTGTTGGGCCATTGAGCATTGTTAGGTACATAGCCTTTGTTGGATTATACAGTTACTACTACTAACACCATCACACAAATGCTGTGCCATGGATTATAATTGTACATAAAACACATTTGATCTATACTGTAGCCTTAGTTACTCAGTCATAACGCACCATATGAGGACTGTTATAAAACCACCTAGCCAGCCTACTGCCAACGCTACATTAGCAATGTCTACTACTTGTGCTGTACCCTAATTTATGTCTGTGTGTGTCCTGACTCTACTGTACTTTAGTGTGTCAGACCTGAACGTGGGGAGGCTGGTGCGAGGAGACATGAGCCAGGGCTTCACCCCCCCACTGGCCAATGCTGTCATGGAGCTGCTGGCCAGACATGGTGAGCAGGGGTCAGGGTTAATGGTTAAAGGTGAGGTAAATATGGGCCATAGTGACCTGTGTGTCACACTACTACTTAAACTGGATTGGAGTCATTCTGAGTATACCAGCAATGGAGACCACTCTGTGTAACTTAAGTCATGCAGCTAGATTAATTCATCACTGCTAAGCCTAGCATGTACGTACTATATGTGATGCAAATCTCAAATATTTTTTGTGTTCAAATTGTAATGTATGGATTGGATTACTACCCAGTTGAAATAGCTTTGCTATTAGCTTAGCTTTGGGAATAATATTATATCCGCATATGGATACAATCCAATGAAAACGAGGACACCAAACTATATCACCATAAAAAAACACTGGACTACTGAATACTCACACTATTATGGAACTCCAGGAGGGACTATTCTAGGAATATGAGAAATGTAGATTGTAATGTTGAATAAAAACATACTGTATTTATCTTATACCATGTTGTCCTGTTTCCGTAGACACCCCTATGGCGGGGAGGACAGTGTTGGTGGTGGGGGGTGAAGGACCCCTCGGGGTGGCCCTGCAATGCCTTATGCAGAGAAGAGGTATGGTGGTCCTCAACAGCCAGAGGAGCTCTGAGGGTCTACAGAAACTGGTATGTACACAGAGACGCACGCACACATTCACGTTTACAAGGTACACTTACAAAATGTGTTTCAATAGACACTTTGTGTTTTGACCACTCGGTGGCAGTGTAGCTCTAATTGAGGCAATACCCTGACACGTGAGGTGTTTGATTGCTGTCATGCCATGATTAGACTGACAGAGAGCTTCGAAGACCTGCAGAGATTAAAGTCAAACCCATCTGCATCTATTACCCTGTACCTGAACTACTGAAGGATGTAATTTGAACATGTAAACTAGTTTACTCTCACACGTTTGCTCACTTCCTTAATTTTTGTCTCTGTCCCCTCTTTCTCATTCTCTCCTCCTCTCCATCTCTTCTTCTCTCTCTCTCTCCTTCCCCAGGTGATGCAGGTGGACGCTGTGATCCTGTTGGGTGCGGCGCATACGGATGTCCCTCCCACATGGCTGAGACCTGGGGCTGCAGTCATCCACTGTGGCTCTGCTCTTATGACAGGTAGGACTGACCGGTGTCAATCGGGTGGAACATTGTCATCATAGGGACATTACAGAACTGCTTGGTCACAATATACTATGCTTTTAATTAATTAATTCACTGCTGGATAGATGTTGTATTATACAGTGCATTCGGAAAGTATTCAGACCCCTTGACTTTTTTCACATTTTGTTACGTTACAGCCATATTAATTTTAATGGTAGGTTTATTTGTGTGAGACAGAATAACAACAATAAAATCCAGAAAAACGCATGTCAAAAATGTTGTCAATTGATTTACATTTTAATGAGGGAAATAAGTATTTGACCCCTCTGCAAAACATGACTTAGTACTTGGTGGCAAAACCCTTGTTGGCAATCACAGAGGTCAGACGTTTCTTGTAGTTGGCCACCAGGTTTGCACACATCTCAGGAGGGATTTTGTCCCACTCCTCTTTGCAGATCTTCTCCAAGTCATTAAGGTTTCGAGGCTGATGTTTGGCAACTCGAACCTTCAGCTCCCTCCACAGATTTTCTATGTGATTAAGGTCTGGAGACTGGCTAGGCCACTCCAGGACCTTAATGTGCTTCTTCTTGAGCAACTCCTTTGTTGCCTTGGCCGTGTGTTTTGGGTCATTGTAATGTTGGAATACCCATCCACGACCCATTTTCAATGCCCTGGCTGAGGGAAGGAGGTTCTCACCCAAGATTTGACGGTACATGGCCCAGTCCATCGTCCCTTTGATGCGGTGAAGTTGTCCTGTCCCGTTAGCAGAAAAACACCCCCAAAGCATAATGTTTCCACCTCCATGTTTGACAGTGGGGATGGGGTTCTTGAGGTCATAGGCAGCATTCCTCCTCCTCCAAACACGGTGAGTTGAGTTGATGCCAAAGAGCTCGATTTTGGTCTCATCTGAACACAACACTTTCACCCAGTTCTCCTCTGAATCATTCAGATGTTCATTGGCAAACTTCAGACGGCCCTGTATATGTGCTTTCTTGAGCAGGGGGACCTTGCGGGCGCTGCAGGATTTCAGTCCTTCACGGCGTAGTGTGTTACCAATTGCATTTTATTGCAGACCTATACATGCTTTGTAAGTAGGAAAACCTGCAAAATCGGCAGTGTGTCAAATACTTGTTCTCCCCACTGTATGTGCTTTCTTGAGCAGGTGGACCTTGCGGGGGCTGCAGGATTCCAGTCCTTCACGGCGTAGTGTGTTACCAATTGTTTTCTTGGTGACTATGGTCCCAGCTGCCTTGAGATCATTGACAAGATCCTCCTGTGTAGTTCTGGACTGATCCCTCACCGTTCTCATGATCATTGCAACTCCACAAGGTCAGATCTTGCATGGAGCCCCAGGCCGAGGGAGATTGACAGTTCTTTTGTGTTTCTTCCATTTGCGAATAATCGCACCAACTGTTGTCACCTTCTCACCAAGCTGCTTGGCGATGGTCTTGTAGCCCATTCCAGCCTTGTGTAGGTCTACAATCTTGTCCCTGACATCCTTGGTGAGCTCTTTGGTCTTGGCCATGGTGGAGAGTTTGGAATCTGATTGATTGCTTCTGTGGACAGGTGTCTTTTATACAGGTAACAAGCTGAGATTAGGAGCACTCCATTTAAGAGTGTGCTCCTAATCTCAGCTCGTTATCTGTATAAAAGACACCTGGGAGCCAGAAATCTTTCTGATTGATTGGGGGTCAAATACTTATTTCCCTCATTAAAATGCAAATCAATTTATAACATTTTTGACATGCGTTTTTCTGGATTTTTTTGTTGTTATTCTGTCTCTCACTGTTCAAATAAACCTACCATTAAAATGATAGACTGATCATTTCTTTGTCAGTGGGCAAACGTACAAAATCAGCAGGGGATCAAATACTTTTTTCCCTCATTGTGTATATATATTTTTTTCTTCTCATCAATCTACACACGATACCCCGTAATGACAAAGCAAAAACAGGTTTTTAGATTTCCCCCCAAATGTATAAAAAAAAAACCCAGGAAATATTACATTTACATAAGTATTCAGACCCTTTACTCAGTACTTTGTTGAAGCACCTTTGGCAGCGATTACAGCCTCGAGTCTTCTTGGGTATGACGCTACAAGCTTGGCACACCTGTATTTGGGGAGTTTCTCCCATTCTCCTCTGCAGATCTTCTCAAGCTCTGTCAGGTTGGATGGGGAGCGTCGCTGTACAGCTATTTTCAAGTCTCTCCAGAGATGTTAGATCGGGTTCAAGTCCGGGCTCTGGCTGGGCCATTCAAGGACATCTTGTCCCGAAGCCACTCCTGCGTTGTCTTGGCTGTGTTCTTAGGATCATTGTCATGATGGAAGGTGAACCTTCACCCCAGTCTGAGGTCCTGAGTGTTTTCATCAAGGATCTCTCTGTACTTTGCTCCGTTCATCTTTCCCTCGATCCTGACTAGTCTCCCAGTCACCGCCGCTGAAAAACATCCCCACAGCATAATGCTGCCACCACCATGCTTCACCGTGGGGATGGTGCCAGGTTTCCTCCAGACGTGACGCTTGGCATTCAGGCCGAAGAGTTCAATCTTGGTTTCATCAGAGCAGAGAATCTTGTTTCTCATGGTCTGAGAATCCTTTAGGTGCCTTGTGGCAAACTCCAAGCGGGCTGTCATGTGCCTTTTACTTAGTAGTGGTTTCCGTCTGGCCACTGTACCATAAAGGTCTGATTGGTGGAGCGCTGCAGAGATGGTTGTCCTTCTGGAAGGTTTTCCCATCTCCACAGAGGAACTCTGGAGCGCTTTCAGAGTGACCATCGGGTTCTTGGTCACCTCCCTGACCAAGGCCTTTCTCCCCTGATTGCTCAGTTTGGCCGGACGGCCAGCTCTAGGAAGAGTCTTGGTGGTTCCAAACGTCTTCCATTTAAAAGTGATGGAGGCCACTGTGTTCTTGGGGATCTTCAAGGCTGCAGAAATGTTTTGGTACCTTTCCCCAGATCTGTGCCTCGACACAATCCTGTCTCGGAGCTCTACGGACAATTCCTTCAACCTCATGGCTTGGTTTTTGCTCTGACATGCACTGTCAACTATGGGACCTTTATATAGACAGGTGTGTGCCTTTCCAAATCATGTCCAATCAATTGAATTTACCACAGGTGGACTCCAGTCAAGTTATCTCATAGCAAGTCTCTGAATACTTATGTAAATAAGTTATTTCTGTTTTGTAATTTTTTTTTATACATTTGGAGAAATTTCTAGAAGCCTGTTTTCGCATTGTCATTATTTGTATTCTTTATTATTTTTTTATTTTGCCTTTTATTTAACTAGGCAAGTCAGTTAAGAACAAATTCTTATTTACAATGACGGCCAAACCCGGACAATGGTGGGCCAATTGTGCGCCGCCCAATGGGACTCCCAATCACGGCCGGATTGTGATACAGCCTGGAATCTAACCAAGGTCTGTAGTGACGCCTCTAGCACTGAGATGCAGTGCCTTAGTCCGCTGCGCCACTCGGGAGCCCGGGGTATTGTGGGTAGATTGATGAGGGAAAAAATAATTGAATCCATTTTAAAATAAGGCTGTAACGTAACAAAAAGGGGAAGGGGTCTGAATACTTTCCGAATGCGCTGTAGATAGATATTCAGTATACAACTGTTATAATTGAGTTGTAATAACATTGGATGTCTGTCTCAGAAGATCAGGGAGTGGAGATGTCTTCATTGTCTGGAGTGGGACCCCTCACAGCAGCCTTCCGGATGCAGAACGTGGTGCGAAGCAGCAGTCGCTGGGCCCAGGAGCAACAGTACAGACCCTGGACGCTCCGCAGCCTCAAGCTGCAGCCCCTGTCACCTGTACCCAGGTAAGAATCAGGAAGTACCCTTGTTGCTGGGCTACCTGGGTCAAGCCAGGAACTAACCACATCCCTCTATACAAAACACAAAGCTCCCATTTGGGCAACCTTTGAATGATGCTGAGAGAGGCAACATCTCTTCTTGCCTTGACAAACCTCAGATCATGCACTCTCTGAGTCTCAAGTGTATGAGATCTCACAAAAGGACTTCTCTCAGTATTGTAAGTGATGTTTAGATAATATTTTATTATAAGGTCTGTGGTAACTTGTCCACCCATCTGTCCACAGTGACATAGAGATCTCCCGTGCCCAGGCCCCTAAGCCTGTGGACCAGCTGGCTCAAGAGATAGGCCTGCTGAAGGAAGAGACTGAGGCCTATGGCAGGACCAAGGCTAAGGTCCGCCTCTCACTCCTGGATCGCCTCAGAGAACAGCCTGATGGGAAATATGTGTTGGTGGCTGGGTGAGTCTGTCCGTCCGTCTGGGCAAGGAATTTATTCTAATTAGAATTTCACCCCTTTGCACATTTGTGTTTCAACCCCCCCGATTCCATCTCTCTATTCTCGCTACACTGCTCACAGAAATGTGTTCACTATTAGTTTTACTACGAATGCCTGGGAACTAGGTTGTGTTTGGGTTTCCTCTTGTCAAATTCTACGAGAGAGAGTGAGCTGCCAATAGGTTTTTTCTTTTAGATGGCGAAACGGAGAGAAATATACGTTTTTTTTCTTCCTTGGAGATGGATAGGGGTCAGGAGACCGTGGAGCCTTGTCTCATATCTGTCAGGGCCCCTGGCGGTTGGGGCCCACCCCTCTTTGAAGGGTGTGTGAACGTTGTTGCGCTGACATATCAGGCCCCACTGCCTCCTTTCATGTGTCTGTCTGGGGAATGCACTGCCGCCATTCGCCCAACCCCCTGGCAGCAGCACACACACACAGATTCAAATGAGCTAAACACTCTTTTTGTCTCCAACCCACTACCACAAGCATACACACACACTCTCCCACACACTCTGTCACATAAACACATACAGTACATTCAGAAAGTATTCACACCCCTTGACTTTTTCCACGTTTTGTTGTGTTGCAGCCTGAATTTAAAATTGATAACATTTAGGTTTTGTGTCACTGGCCTACACACAATACCCCTTAATGTCAAAGTGGAAATATGTTTAGAGGAATGTTTACAAATTAATTAAAAATGAAAAGCTGAAATGTCTTGAGTCAATAAATATGAAACCCATTTGTTATGGCAAGCCTAAATAAGTTTAGGTGTACATATGTGCTTAAGTCACATAAGTTCCAAGGACTCACTCTGTGTGCAATAACCGTGTTTAACATGATTTCTGAAAGACTACCTCTGTACCCCACACATACAATTATCTTTAAGGTCCCTCAGATGAGCAGTGAATTTCAACACAGATTCAACCACAAAGACCAGGGAGGTTTTCCAATGCCTCGCAAAGAAGGGCACCTATTGGTAGATGGGTATTATTTCTTTCGAAAGCAGACATTGAATATCCCTTTGAGCATGGTGAAGTTATTAATTACACTTTGGATGGTGTATCAATACACCCAGTCACTACTAAGATACAGGCGTCTTTCCTAACTCAGTTGCCGGAGAGGAAGGAAACCACTCAGGGATTTCACCATGAGGCCTATGGTGACTTTAAAACAGTTAAAGTTTAATGGCTGTGATAGGAGAAAACTGAGGATGGATCAACCACATTGTAGTTACTTCACAATACTAACCTAATTGACAGTGAGAAAAGAAGGAAGCCTGTACAGAATAAAAATATGCCAAAACATGCATCCTATTTCCAATAAGGCACTAAAGTAAAACTGCAAGAAATGTGGCTAAGAAATTACCTTTATGGCCTGAATACAAAGCTTTCTTTTTTGGGGGCAAATCCAACACATCACTGAGTACCACTCTTCATGTATTCAAGCAGGGTGGGGGCTGCATGATGTTATGGATATGCTTGTCATCGGCAAGAACTACAGAGTTTAATTATTTTTTTTATGTTTTAAGATACAAATAAACGAAATATAGGTAAGTACACGCAAAATCCTAGTGGAATACCTGGTTCAGTCTGCTTTCCACCAGACACTGGGAGAAAAATGCACCTTTCAGCAGGACAATAACCTAAAACACAAGGCCAAATATACACTGGAGTTGCTCACCAAGATGACATTGAATGTTCCTGAGTGGCCTAGTTACAGTGTTGACTTAAATTGGCTTGAAAATCTATGGCAAGACTTGAAAATGGCTGTCTAGTACATTTACATTTTAGTCATTTAGCAGACGCTCTTATCCAGAGCGACTTACAGGAGCAATTAGGGTTAAGTGCCTTGCTCAAGGGCACATCGCCAGATTTTTCACCTAGTCTGCTCGGGGATTAGAACCAGCGACCTTTCGGTTACTGGCACAACGCTCTTAACCACTAAGCTACCTGCCGCCCCTAATGTAATGATCAACAACTAACTTGAAGAATTTAAAAAAGAATGTGCAAATATTCTACAATCCAGGCTTGCAAAGCTCTTAGAGACTTACCCAGAAAGACACAGCTATAATTGCTGCCAAAGTTGATTCTAACTTGTATTGACTCGGGGTGTGAATACTTATGTAAGTAAGGTATTTCATTTTCAATGAATTTGCAAACATTTCTACTAACATGTTTTCACTTTGTCAAAATGGGTTATTGTGTGTAGATGGGTGAGAGAGGAAAAAAGTCAATTTAATCCATTCTGAATTCAGGCTGTAACACAACAATGTGGAATAAGTCAAGGGGTAGGAATACTTTCTGAAGGCACTGTATACACACACACACTGATTCACTATCTGGCTCTTACTTCCCTCCGTCTAAAACACACATACACACACCCTCCCTCTCCTTAAGAGGCCGTCTTTGTTCCCTGCGGGCCCCTGGAGGCGAGGGGCCTCAATCAATTGTTGTCAGAAAAAGAGAGCGTGTCCACCAGATAGGGAGAGAGAAAGTGCCTCTTTAGCTTTCCTCTTTTCCTACCTCTTACAACAAACTGAGCAACATTGGGTTAAAAGACGGATTGCATTTTAAAGCACTTTTTAATAGGTCTCACAGGGTTCTCACTTTATATTTGGTTTATTCAGCTCTGTAATGTCCAGCGAGACACCAATTGGTCACATGAATTAGTCCAATTGGACTAATGAATCGGGTTGCCATGGATACAGGCTAAATGTGGTTAGGGCTGTGAGATCAGATGCTGCTGATTAGACTATAGCACGAGTGGACAAGTAACCTACACATTAGATGAGACCAATGCACTCCCTCATTATATAACTATACTCAGCACAAATACATCTCTATTAGTGTGTGTACGTTTGTCTTAATGTTATCTATTTTCTCTCCCACACCAGTATCACTCCCACCCCCCTAGGGGAGGGTAAGAGCACGGTGGTCATTGGCCTGGTCCAGGCTCTCTCAGCCCACCTCAAGCTTAACTCCTTCGCCTGCCTCAGACAGCCCTCTCAGGGGCCCACCTTCGGGGTCAAAGGTCAGAGAGGGAAGATCTATACTCCTATCTACCTTAGAGAAAGCATATCTATGCTAATATAGCCATCTGCTCCTTATGAGGGGAATGGGAAGGGAATGTTGTCTGTGTGAAGCTAATTGCTAACATCTTTGTTCAGATTGTAAGGGGTTGGAGATGGGGTAGTTTACTAAAAGTCCACAGCTCAGCAGTACTCCTGTCTCCCTCTGGCCTGTTGTCTCGCTCTCACTGTGTGTGTTGCCTGTGTGTTCCCCTAGGGGGCGCCGCGGGAGGGGGATATGCCCAGGTCATCCCAATGGAGGAGGTAAGACACACACAGGCAGCTCTCAGCTGGACCCACGGCTTCAAAGGGGCTACACACACGCCAACGTTTAACTATACACACACACCAACACGTGCACACTCACATACACACCCTGGCGCTGTAGCATAACATTCTCTGTGACTAAAGCGTGCGTGAAGAAGGGAGGGTGAGAGCTGGAGGGAACGAGGGAGGGAGGGAGGGAGGCAGACTTCAAGGGCATAGAGACAGACACTTCAGACAAGGCGCTTCAGCCTCCTAGCCTCCCTGCCTTCAACACAAACACCAGCACCTTTGAACTCCCCCCTCTTCTCTCGCTTTCTCTCCTCAATACTCCAGTGGCTGTTAAATGGATCTTTAAACTACATGATGGAGTCTGTTGGACTGTAAGGGCAATGTCTGTGTTGTGATCTATGTGTGTCGTAGTGTAGTCACAGAGGTGGGGGTCCAGTCAACTACAGGGCAACATGAGTTCATAGTCACAGTATGAGACACAACATATAGCCTGATTGAAATGATGTATAACTCTCCCTCTTGGTTTTCTATGAAACTATACTCTGGTCAATGAAATTCAGTAAATTTAGTTTTGACTTATTCCTTATGTTTTTAGTGGAGTCTGTTATTTTATCTCTGAACGATTTCGGTTTTGAATCTGATTTTCACTTGCTTGCTCTCTCTCTGTCTTTTTTTTCTCTGTCAGTTCAACCTCCATTTGACAGGTGATATTCATGCCATCACTGCAGCCAATAACCTTGTGGCCGCTGCCATTGATGCCCGGATACTGCACGAGGCCACCCAAACAGACAAGGTGACTGTGATGTCACAATGCAGAGTGATTCTGGCATCACAATGGAGAGCTATTATGACATCAGAATGCAGAGTGGTTCTAAAAATGATATTGACATCACAATGTAAATCATTCCAGTATATTCCCAGTCGGTATTAGATAGAACGTTGCAACTAACTCAATTTTCTTGTCTACTATAATAAAACTAAATTTAAGAAAAGTACATGTCTAAAGGTTACTTTTCAACATCGCCTGTTCCCGAGCGTTTTCACTACTTAGAAAAATGTGATATTGTATGCCCCTTTTCATTACGGTGCTAGCAGCCAAGTGAGTGGTAGCTAGCTACCGACCGGAACACTAGTGAGGTCACAATGATGTCACAGGACCCATTTTTAACTTCCAGATTATGTATGAATTATGACATCACCACTTGATATATTCTCTGACTGTTACATCTCTCTCCAGGCTCTGTACAGCAGACTGGTCCCCTCAGTGAACGGAGTCAGGCGCTTCTCTCCCATACAGATCGCAAGGCTGCGTGTAAGTCCACCCAATTCACTGCCTAACGTCTTATGTACTGGCTATTGTTCAGTTACCTCGCCCAGTTATGTCCCCAAGACCTCCACTAGGTTGCCTCAGTGAGCTGATATACTGGTAGTCCAACATCCCGTCATAGGACCTCTCACTCTGCAGCCCTATCCCCTCAACATCACCACACGCTCATCTGTTTAGATTACAGCTAGAGTATTATAGGACTCTATGGTTTACCATAGGACTTTTATGGGAGTGTTGATAGCAGAGCGGCTTAGTGTTAAGCCATAACAAACAAACAGATAGGAGGGGGTGATGGAGGCGTGGGGTCCTCCGCGAACCAGCAGACAGCCTACAGTCTGAGACACAAATGCACAACTTGAGGAAGAGTTGAGAAGTTCAGGAGGATGTGAAATATGAATCCGTTTGAAGATATTGAGTGGTAGTGGAAGAGGGAGGGAGAGCGAAAGAGTGGAAGAACTGAGGGAAAAGTACTGGAGGAGTCTCTTAAGAATTGTCTAATGAAGGGAATCTAGGACCAGACTTAAATAAAAGATCAGCCTATCTTCCGCAAGAAATTCCATTATTTGGTATTTTGTTGATGGTGGTGGAAAAAGTGTTCAATTGGTTTGAGATCTGGTGACTGAGACACGCACACCCTTTAAACTCCCATGCTCCTTTGAGACCCCTCTTTCAAAGTCACTGAGATCTCTTCTTCTAGCCATGGTAGCCAAAATAATGGGAAACTGGGAATTTTTATACATGACCCTAAGCATGATGGGATGTTAATTGCTTAATTAACTCAGGAACCACACCTGTGTGGAAGCACCTGCTTTCAATATACTTTGTATCCCTCATTTACTCAAGGGTTTCCAATATTTTGGTAGTTACCTGTAGTTGGGATAGGTGATATGATAAACATCACAGGGAAATCTAGGATATGAGTTAGATGACAGGTGGTAGACATCAGCCCTATCCTATTATTAAAGACATCTGAGATCGGAAAATAGACATCACAGGGAAATCCTAGGAGTCTCTTGGACCTCCTTGAGCAGTCTTTTTTTATTTTACCAGGTAAGTTGACTGAGATCACATTCTCAGCAACGACCTTGGGAATAGTTACAGGGGAGAGGAGGGGGGATGAATGAGCCAATTGGAAGCTGGGAATGATTAGGTGGCCATGATGGTATGAGGGCCAGATTGGGAATTTAGCCAGGACACCGGGGTTAACACCCCTACTCTTACGATAAGTGCCATGGGATCTTTAGTGACAACAGAGAGTCAGGACACCCGTTTAATGACGGTGCCCTACACATGGCAATGTCCCCAATCACTACCCTGGGATATTATTATGTTTGTCCAGAGGAAAGAGTGCCTCCTACTGGCCCTCAAACTCCACTTCCAGCAGCATCTGGTCTCCTATCCAGGGACCAACCAGGACCAACCCTGCTTAGATTCAGAGGCAAGCCAGCAGTGGGATGCAGGGTGGTATGCTGCTGGCTTGACCACTGCATGATTCATAAGCTGTTGTTGACATGATCATCTCCCTCTCTCTCTCTCCTGCTCTAGCGTTTGGGCATCAGTGAGATTGACCCCAGTGCTCTCACGCCCCAGGAGGTCAGCTCCTTTGTCCGTCTCGACCTCGACCCCGCCAAGGTCACCTGGCAGAGAGGTAGGACCCTGTCCAATCAGTTATTCCCTCCTCCCATATTCCAGTTTATCATTGGCTGTATCAGGGAGGCCCCCCACATGATTGGTTAATGTGTTGATTTGAGGGGTGGAGCAGGGTTTCCGTTAGCTGGTAATTGTAATTGTAGATGGCCAATTGTGCTGCTGAGGAGAGAGAGAAAGCGTGAAAGGAGCCTTGGCCTAAAATGAAAGTTGGAGAGTATGCCTATAGTGAAAAGGCAGGGCTCCAGACTGCGACCATTTAGTCGCCTTTTGTGACCCGTTGACTTGGCTGTGCGAGTAAAAAAATGTATTGGTCGCATCGTTGCTGGCTCACATTCATTCACCTCACTAAAAACATCACATTTTTTGGGTGGCTAAAACCATGATTTGGTCAAACAGTAAAGTACATTATCCTCATGATTCCTGTAATGAAAGTATCATTAGCCTATTGCTGTCATTTGTTGGGTACGGTAGGCACTAGCCTTAGTTGGTAATTGCTGCGTTATAGCCCGTTCAAAACATTTGTGGAGGTTTTAACAAGTTCACAAGTGTTTTGTTTCATTATTTTTAGCCATTTTCTTTGGCCAAATTAAGTTTTGACTGTAATGTTGTGTTTGCCGCAATATAATATCCTTCTCGTATTTTCCCTATAAACAATGGCTTGACTTACTTTTGAGATTACCCTAATAAAGTTTAGAAACTTTTGTGAAGGTGTGGTGTGGCTATTAGCTTATTATACTGCAGGCCTATGATATGAAGGCAGTGCGCACCGGTACTAAAACTGACTCCGACAGTTCAACTTGAGGTGAGGAAGAATGTTATACAGTGAGGGAAAAAAGTATTTGATCCCCTGCTGATTTTGTACGTTTGCCCACTGACAAAGAAATGATCAGTCTATAATTTAATGGTAGGTTTATTTGAACAGTGAGAGACAGAATGACAACAAAAAAAAACAGAAAAACGCATGTCAACAATGTTATAAATTGATTTGCATTTTAATGAGGGAAATAAGTATAGATTTCTGGCTCCCAGGTGACTTTTATACAGGTAACGAGCTGAGATTAGGAGCACACTCTTAAAGGGAGTGCTCCTAATCTCAGTTTGTTACCTGTATAAAAGACACCTGTCCACAGAAGCAATCAATCAATCAGATTCCAAACTCTCCACCATGGCCAAGACCAAAGAGCTCTCCAAGGATGTCAGGGACAAGATTGTTGACCCACACAAGGCTGGAATGGGCTACAAGACCATCGCCAAGCAGCTTGGTGAAAAGGTGACAACAGTTGGTGCGATTATTCGCAAATGGAAGAAACACAAAAGAACTGTCAATCTCCCTCGGCCTGGGGCTCCATACAAGATCTCACCTTGTGGAGTTGCAATGATCATGAGAACGGTGAGGGATCAGTCCAGAACTACACGGGAGGATCTTGTCAATGATCTCAAGGCAGCTGGGACCATAGTCACCAAGAAAACAATTGGTAACACACTACGCCGTGAAGGACTGGAATCCTGCAGCCCCCGCAAGGTCCACCTGCTCAAGAAAGCACATACAGTGGGGAGAACAAGTATTTGACACACTGCCGATTTGCAGGTTTTCCTACTTACAAAGCATGTATAGGTCTGCAATAAAATGCAAATTAATTACTTAAAAGTCATACAATGTGTTTTTCTGGATTTTTGTTTTAGATTCCGTCTCTCACAGTTGAAGTGTACTACCTATGATAAAAATTACAGACCTCTACATGCTTTGTAAGTAGGAAAACCTGCAAAATCGGCAGTGTATCAAATAATTGTTCTCCTCACTGTATACATGCCCGTCTGAAGTTTGCCAATGAACATCTGAATGATTCAGAGGAGAACTGGGTGAAAGTGTTGTGGTCAGATGAGACCAAAATGGAGCTCTTTGGCATCAACTCAACTCGCCGTGTTTGGAGGAGGAGGAATGCTGCCTATGACCCCAAGAACACCATCCCTACCGTCAAACATGGAGGTGGAAACATTATGCTTTGGGGGTGTTTTTCTGCTAAGGGGACAGGACAACTTCACCGCATCAAAGGGACGATGGACGGGGCCATGTACCGTCAAATCTTGGGTGAGAACCGCCTTCCCTCAGCCAGGGTATTGAAAATGGGTCGTGGATGGGTATTCCAGCATGACAATGACCCAAAACACACAGTCAAGGCAACAAAGGAGTGGCTCAAGAAGAAGCACATTAAGGTCCTGGAGTGGCCTAGCCAGTCTCCAGACCTTAATCCCATAGAAAATCTGTAGAGGGAGCTGAAGGTTCAAGTTGCCAAACGTCAGCCTCGAAACCTTAATGACTTGGAGAAGATCTGCAAAGGGGGTGGGACAAAATCCCTCCTGAGATGTGTGCAAACCTGGTCGCCAAATACAAGAAACCTCTGACCTCTGTGATTGCCAACAAGGGTTTTGCCACCAAGTACTAAGTCATGTTTTGCAGAGGGGTCAAATACTTATTTCCCTCATTAAAATGCAAATCAATTGATAACATTTTTTACATGCGTTTTTCTGGATTTTTTTGTTGTTATTCTGTCTCTCACTGTTCAAATAAACCTACCATTGAAATTATAGACTGATCATTTCCTTGTCAGTGGGCAAACGTACAAAATCAGCAGGGGATCAAATACTTTTTTCCCTCATATATATATATATATATATATATATATATATATATATATATATATATATATATACTACCAGTCAAAAGTTTGGACACACCTACTCATTCAAGGGTTTTCTTTATTTTTACTATTTTCTATATTGTACAATAATAGTGAAGACATCAAAACTATCAAATAACACATATGGAATCATGTAGTAACCAAAAAAGTGTTAAACAAATCAAAATATATTTTATATTTGAGATTCTTCAAATAGCCACCCTTTGCCTTGATGACAGCTTTGCACACTCTTGGCATTCTCTAAACCAGCTTCACCTGGAATGCTTTTCCAACAGTCTTGAAGGAGTGCCCACATATGCTGAGCACTAGTTGGCTGCTTTTCCTTCACTCTGCGGTCCGACTCATCCCAAACCATCTCAATTGGGTTGAGGTCAGGTGATTGTGGAGGCCAGGTCATCTGATGCAGCACTCCATCACTCTTCTTCTTGGTAAAATAGCCCTTACACAGCCTGGAGGTGTGTAGGGTCATTCACCTGTTGAAAAACAAATGATAGTCCCACTAAGCCCAAACCAGATGGGATGGTGTATAGCTGTAGAATGCTGTGGTAGCCATGCTGGTTAAGTTTGCCTTGAATTCTAAATAAATCACATAGTTTCACCAGCAAAGCACCTCCGCACCATAACACCACCTCCTCCATGCTTTACAGTGGGAGCTACACATGTGGAGATCACCCCTCTGTTATGCCTGATGGGGTATTTACTCCACAGGCTCAAAGGGGCACATTGAAGCGTGGGCCTCAGAAGATTAAAAACAGTGTTAGTACATATGCGTGTGTGTCTGTACACACATCTGTATTTCTGCCAGCCTATGGCTTGTGCACGTCTGTTTTTATTTAATTAAAGCACAGAACGATGTTGGACTCCTGTGATTTGCTGTGGTCTTGGTGGATAGCTAACCACAGAATAACCAATACTAAACCTCCATTATTAGGCGTTTAGACAAACTGTTGAGTGAGACCTAAGGAACTCCCCCTTAACCTTCTCTATTGGCACTTCCAAGTTCTAATGTTCCATTATTTAATTAAAATGTAATCACTCAAGCATATGTTTCCTAGTTCATAAGTTCAAATAAGTTTAGTGAATTGAATAGCCCTACCTTTATCAGTTTATACTATTTCAATGACCTTGGATTACATTTTTAACCTGTGTGTCTTAATTATGTCTGTGAGCACGTAGTTATGTCCAGATTTCCAGTCGGCAAAATTTGTTTTTTATCTTGGCTCGCGCTGGTCATTCAGAGGTCTCTTTAGGTGGTGTGTGTGTGTCAGTTACAGGCCCATCATACATGTGTTTTAATACTGTTTACTGTCCAAATGGATTTTACAGACCAGGCCAGGGTTGGGTTGTAAAGGACATGACTCAATACTGTGTACCAGGGGGTCACATAGGTTTTAAAGGCTCTCCCTGGTCCATGTTTATGAATGACCGTTAAACTGGCCTCTATCAGATGTTTTCCACATGTCACTGAATCATTATGACGTTTTGAAGGGGCTCAGTATTTTAGAATTTTTATTTTTTTGTGATTAGGTTTTCAAAAATCCTGTAACTTTCCCGGGTTTTCCAGGAATCCTGGTGGGAAGATTCACGTATTTCGTGCCTATTCCATCCTGATTCCAGGAGTCTTTTTGGGAATGTTCCCGGATTGTTCCTGGATTTTTGCAATCTTAAGTGTAATGTATGTATTAGGATACTGTATTTATGGGGATTTTTTCTGTCTTGCAGTGGTTGATACCAATGATCGTTTCCTGAGGAAGATAACTGTAGGACAGGCCAGCACTGAGAAAGGACATGTGCGAGAGGTATGTACAGTATATCTTTAAAATGGCACGTACAGTATATCCATGTGATTATGTGTATGACCTGAGTGATAACTCACTTAATAATAAGATTAATAATATATTTATTTTATATAGCGCTTTTCATTCAAGTAGAATCTGTCGCTTAAAGTAAATACATACACTACCGTTCAAAAGTTTGTGATCACTTAGAAATGTCCTTGATTTCGAAAGAGAGGCAATTTTTTGTCCTTTAAAATAGCATCAAATTGATCAGAAATACAGTGTAGACCTTGTTAATGTTGTAAATGGCTATTGTAGCTGGAGATGGCTGATTTTTAATGGAATATCTACATAGGCGTACAGAGGCCCATTATCAGCAACTATCAGTCCTGTGTTCCAATGGCATGTTGTGTTTGCTAATCCAAGTTTATCATTTTAAAAGGCTAATTGATCATTAGAAAACCCTTTTGCAATTATGTTAGCACAGCTAAAAACTGTTGTGCTGATTTTAAAGAAGCAATAAAACTGGCCTTCTTGAGACTAGTTGAGGATCTGGAGCATCAGCAATTGTGGGTTTGATTAAAGGCTCAAAATGGCCAGAAACAAATAACTTTCTTCTGAAACTCGTCAGTCTATTCTTGTTCTGAGAAATTAAGGCTTCCATGCGAGAAATTGCCAAGAAACTGAAGAGCTGGTACAACACTGTGTACTACTCACTTCACAGAACAGCTCAAACTGGCTCTAACCAGAATAGAAAGAGGAGTGGGAGGCCCCGGTGCACAACTGAGCAAGAGGACAAAGACATTAGAATGTCTAGTTTGAGAAACAGACGCTTCACAGGTCCTCAACTGGCAGCTTCATTAAACAGTACCCACAAAACACCAGTCTCAACGTCAACAGTGAAGAGACTCCGGGATGCTGACCTTCTAGGCAGAGTTGCAAAGAAAAAGCCATATCTCAGACTGCCTATCTTAATCTTTAATTTTTATTGGCCAGTCTGAGATATGGCTTTTTCTTTGCAACTCTGCCTAGCATCCCGGAGTCGCCTCTTCACTGTTGACGTTGAGACTGGTGTTTTGCGGTATGGTTAATGATACATTGTGTTGGTATGGTTCTTCTGGTTCTCTTTCTTTCTCACACACACACACACAAGGTTATTATAGTTTTGTGTTTTTATATTTGTTTATATTAGTTATAAGATTTCTATTTTAAATTCAGTTTAGTTTTAGTTAAGTTTTCAGATCTGATTTACTATTTCATTTTTATATTATTTTGTTTTAGTGTTAGGGACAGAAAGTAGCCTATGCGTGGGAGGCTAGGTGCCATTTATGTGTTGTATAGTTTGGGTTTTTTGGGATCACTCCTTGCCACTGTGGGGCAGTAATGCATAAGGCAGGGGTATTCAACGTCGGGGTCGTGACCCCTAGTGGGGAATTGCAGCGGGGTCGCCAAAATTGTGTAGTTAAATTTGGGGTGGGGTTGCCAGAAATTCGTGCTAAATAAATGGAATCCCTGGTGAAAGCTTGAATACCATAGGCTGAGGTAGACTCAGCGAGATGTCGTAGATACATGAAGTAATCCGTAGTAGTAGTTTTGGTCCCGTAGCTACCATGTTGTAGCAGCGTAAAGCGCACCTGTGCACATGTGCAGATACTCTGTGTGACTGTGTGAGAGCAAAAACTCACTCATCTCAATCTGCGGTGCTGCTCGTCGCAACGTTATCTCACTGAGTCTTTACATCATTAAGTCAATCTCAATGTGACCCGCCAGATTCAGAAGCTTGAAAAAAAAGCTGTAAAACCCCATTAGATTTTTGACCAAAATTCTATTAAAAAGGCTAAAACTGAATATAATTCATGATGCTTTTTATTTTATTTGAGTTAGTTTTGGAATCAAAGATATAGTTTCAGTATATTTTCAGTTTTTCAAACGGGTTTGTTAATTATATTAAGTTTACTAAAAAAAAATTGTCATTAGTTTACTCTAATAACCTTGACACACACACACACACAGATAAACAACAGCCCTTCCTTCCATTGTTTCCCTATCACTCTGACTCAATAAGGCTTTTGGAAAACTAGGCCACATCCATGAAACATCGCTCTCTCTGCATGTGTGTTTACAAAAATGTATATTGCCTAATTCCCTGTAGAAAAGCGGTCTTGCTTGGACTCTTATCAACTGGGATGGAATCAGACTCGTGTTAGTAGTTAACGTCAGTCTACCTGCCAGTTGTATAGTGTTGTACATGAGGGGTGTGTGTGTGTGTGTGTGTTATCCCTCCACTCCCTCCCTCAGCTCCCCACTGTTCTCTCTCAAGTGTTCTCTGTTGTGTGTGTGTGTGTGTTTATATACTCTATCTGCATCATTCCCCTCTCTCTCTCGATTCAGTTTTACTTATTTGACCTCAAGATGTGGATTGTGTGTTTTTGAGTTGTTCCATGTCATTTTAGCAAGCCATGACACCCACCATCTCAGATTGTTCTGACATTTTCTGTAGTTAGAAACAGTATTTTGTTGAAATTGAATTTTATCTCTGAGAAATTAAGCTAAGTGATTGCTCTCAAATTGGCCATTTTAATTTATAGGATTCAGATAATATTCAATAAATGTAGTACCCAATATCCGATTTGGACCAAACTTCTTCCTACCAATTAGTAAGACATGAGGAATCCCCCCCCCCCCCCCCCCCCCCCCAAATTAAAAAAAAAATTAATAATTCAAAAGCCACCCACGGACCCCCCCACACCCCATGCCAATCCCACCCCAACAACCAGTATATTGATCAGTGCATTGTTGGGTTTAGAGCTAGCAACAAAGGCATTTCACTGTACTTGTGCACATTACATTACAACTTGAAACTATACAGCTACAGCTTGGGGTGTTGCTTCCACGTAATATGTAATGTATTCCCTGTGAATCTGGTGATGTTTTTTTTCCCCGTTCAGAAAAATTAGTAATTGAAGTCGCTTGCATAATTTACCATAAAGTAGTGTGCAATTTCCGGTTTTGGCCACTAGATGCCGCTGTTCCTGTTATACTACCACACTCTTTTAACCATTTTGCAGATCTCTTATGTTTAAATGGATCACAAAATTTCCTTTGCACCTTTGGGTAGAAAACCAATATATTTGGCTCTGGATGAAAATAAATTGTGTGGTCATCCTCACAATTCAAGCCTGTCCACAGGGAATACATTACATAGTATGGAGAAGCAATACTCCAAGCCACAGCTTCAAACTACTAGTCAAACGTAGAGAACTGATACTGTTTACTGGTTGTTGGTGTGGGATTGGCGTGGGGGGTCCGTGGATGGCTTTAGAATTTTTTTGGGATTCCTCATGTCTTACTCATTGGTAGGAAGAAGTTTGGTCCAAATTGGATGTTGGGTACTATATTTATTGAATATTATCTGAATACTATAAATTAAAATGGCCAATTTGGGTGCAATCAATTAGCTTAATTTCTCAGAGAAAAATAAATTAAAAATAAATATCAGGAATGCTATTCATATGTTACTAACTACAGAAACGATTTCAGAACAATCTGAGAGGGTGGGTGTCAATCCTCTTCCTTGTGCTTTTTGAGGTGGAACGACCCTCGTCTATCTCTTGTGGAGACCCAGTTTGACAAAGCAGTGGCCATTTGAGATTTTGATAGTGTGTGTATTTACAGACAATATGTTTCTCTCCTCCTGTGTAGACACAGTTTGACATAGCGGTGGCCAGTGAGATCATGGCTATCCTGGCCCTGACTGACGGACTGCGGGACATGAAGACCAGACTGGGACGTATGGTGGTGGGCAGCAGCCGCAGTGGACAGCCCGTCACAGCAGAGGACCTGGTAATATAATCATATAATAAATACCATTATCCAAAATCATGCGTTCATACATTTTACATAAGGTTGGCCCCAGGAATCGAACCCACAATCCTGCCGTTGCAAGCGTCTCTGTGCGTGTGTGATCAAGTCAAATCGTATTTGTCACATGCGCCGAATACAACAGGTGGAGACCTTACAGTGAAATGCTTACTTACAAGCCCTTAACCAACAATGCAGTTTTAAGAACAATAAGTGTTAAGTAAAAAATTTATCAATCAAAAATAATTAAAGAGCAGCAGTAAAATAACAGTAGCGAAGGCTATATACATGGGGTACCTGTACAGAGTCAATGTGCGGGGGCAAAGGTTAGTTGAGGTAATTGAGGTAATATGTACATGTGATGAGAGCTAAACGGTGTCAGTTAGGGCTAATCAGTTGTAGTATTGTTCCACTTAAAGACATCGGTCATAAATTCCTTTAATGGCCGTAGCATACTTTAGCATCAGCCTATAAAACCATTGCGAAGGCTGTCATATGTCAAGACCGCTTCACTAAGCTCTCTTTGTCTCTCTTGGCCTTCCTGATTATCTTGTCAAGTGGAGCTTTGGCTCTGTGTTTGTCTCAGTCTGTGTTACATAAACTCAGTCATCACATGAACATTATCACAGATGTCATGAGACAAATGTTTCATTTTGGCATTATAATAAGGTTGGTAGCAACATGGAAAATTGTTTGCAGCTCAAGTCGACTGCAAAATCCGCAATGCTCTCTCTATGGGCTGGCTAGCTAGTTAGTTAGATACTCTTGTAGATATAGTGTATGTGGAAAGAGGCAGACAAATAGGAAAAATGTGCTAGACCCTCCATTAAATAAAAATTATTCTCGAGGTAGGAACAGGGCTGTTTTACGGTGACCATTTAACCGGCCGCCGGCGGTCATGAGTCATGACGGCAGTCAAATTCCACGTGACCATTTAGTCACGGTAATTAGGCTTCTGCAAGCTCTGATGCTGCTGATGGTCATTAGTAGCCTACCAAACTTGCTAAGTGCCTGGTACTCAGCACTCGACTGTCCCTCTAATCACTCTGACATCAATGCAAATGTAATCGAAAATCTAATGAAACACTTCATGAGAGCCCATGAGTTCATGTTGCGCAACATTTCTGTAGGCTATGCAATTGCGTGAGAAAACAGTTTTGATGGCCTCTATTAAAAAGAGGAGGATCCCAGCAGCTTTCTATAGGCTAGGCCTACTATATTTATTTCTCAACTTTCCTAATATTAAGCACATTGCCTCACTTTACAACAGGAGTATAGCCTACCTGGCTGGCATGAAATTGAACCACGGGAAAAGTGCATAGATTACATATATTTTTTCCCCCCATGCCCCTGTTCCGAGACAGGTGCATGAAAATGGTCTGTTCTAACTCAAAACTAATTTCACACGTATATGTCAAGACAACATTAAATTAAGAATAGTCTGATGGGTGACAATATTAGCCCATCACTTGTGAATGATGCATTATCACTTTTGAATGATGAAACCGCTTGCCTTTTTTATTTATTTGTATCATAGTGGAACACCTCATGTAGCCTAGCCCATAGACCTGTATGTTTTGAAAAGGTTTGTATCACAGCTAAAGTTCCAAATAACTTCTTAAAATTAAGCACATTAATCTGCTTTATAACAGGTGTAGAGCCTAACTGGCATACATAGGCTGCGCGTGAGTTTCAAGTTTGGGGAAGATAATTTTCCCCATTTTAAAAATGCTCCTTTATAATAAAGCATTACATGCATAATCACGTTTGTCTTCACTTTTGAGAACAGTGCAAATGCAATCAAAAATCACATCAAACAATTATCATCAAAACAGCCTATCATACTTTTTAAAACTCACCTCACTGTGATGATCAATTTGAAGAAAGAAGTTCAACAGCAGGTTGAAACAGTGTCAACGAAATGGACAGATCTTTCTAAGGTGATGATTAATTCAAAACACCCAGAGCTTATGCATATGCATATGAGCCCAAGCCCAAAAACAAAACTGAATTAAAATGATGATTGTGCCATTATACAATACATAGCCTACTGCATATTACGCATTGCAGAAAAACATACAACAAAACTGATTTAAGATGTCTTTGGTACATCATTAGTCTATCCTTTGAGTGTGAACTGTATTATTATGCATACTGGATGGACTGGTTACCTTATGCTACGCTCCTAAATGTATATCCATGAGTCTGGGAGAGAATGTATAGCCATAGGCGATGCTGTTAGTTAATTGATAGTGCAGGGCGGCTTACAGTTAGCCTACAATTAGTGAATTTGTATTTTGAATAGCCTAGTAATAGGGAATTTTTTATATTTTCATAATTAATTGGGTGACACATTACCTTTTAGCTACAGAATATCTCACCACCGTGTGTTTCCGTCTCCTCTCTCTCCTTTATTCCTTTCTCGAGCGCGTAGACGGGCTGTAAACAGTTTAGTTAAATGTGTTTCATTGCGAAAACATGTTACTATCGATGTTCCCAAACAGATTTTCACTTTTCCCAAGGTTGGAGAGCCCATGGCATACAACTCCCGAGTGGCGCAGTGGTCTAAGGCTGTGCCACTAGAGATCCTGGTTCGAATCCAGGCTCTGTCGTAGCTGGCCGCGACAGGGAGACCCATGGGGCGGCGCACAATCGGCCCAGCGTCGTCCAGGGTAGGGGAGGGAATGGCCGGCAGGGATGTAGCTCAGTTGGTAGAGCATGGCGTTTGCAATGCCAGGGTTGTGGGTTAAATTCCCAAAATAATGTATGCACTCACTAACTGAATGACTAAAATGTAAAATGTAAATGTAATACAGAGTTTGGGTGGAACATCACCTGTCGGGCAGCGAGAAATAAGTGTTCTTGTATTTATTTCTCAGCTGCTCATATTATGCTCCGCTATAAAACCGAAGTAGCCTACAAAACGGACCAGTGGGAAAGCTCACGGCCTCCATTCACTAATCGAGTGCATACAGATTAAATGTATTTTTTCCCCTGACCCCGTACTTTCCCGTTTGATAATGCCCCATTCTAAATCTAAACTAATTTGACATATTAGTAAAGACAAAATTAAATTGAGAAATAGTCTGATGGGTGAAAATCACTTACATTTACATTTTACATTTTAGTCATTTAGCAGACGCTCTTATCCAGAGCGACTTACAGTTACTTGATGAGAGAACAGCTGTGCAGCCTGAGGCAAGGAACAGAGCACAAGCTTTTTTGCTTCTATCTCAAATCATCAATAGCCGATAGTCGCTCCATGCAGCCCATATATGTTTTGATTTCTAAGACATTCTAAGGTTTGTTTCATTCACAACTAAAGTTGCCAAATAACTCTAAATCTAGCATATAGGACCTGTTTCAAGTGTTCACTTTTACGCTTATACAGTGGGGGAAAAAAAGTATTTAGTCAGCCACCAATTGTGCAAGTTCTCCCACTTAAAAAGATGAGAGGCCTGTCATTTTCATCATAGGTACACGTCAACTATGACAGACAAATTGAGAAAAGAAAATCCAGAAAATCACATTGTAGGATTTTTAATGAATTTAATATGGTGGAAAATAAGTATTTGGTCACCTACAAACAAGCAAGATTTCTGGCTCTCACAGACCTGTAACTTCTTCTTTAAGAGGCTCCTCTGTCCTCCACTCGTTACCTGTATTAATGGCACCTGTTTGAACTTATCAGTATAAAAGACACCTGTCCACAACCTCAAACAGTCACACTCCAAACTCCACTATGGCCAAGACCAAGGAGCTGTCAAAGGACACCAGAAACAAAATTGTAGACCTGTACCAGGCTGGGAAGACTGAATCTGCAATAGGTAAGCAGCTTGGTTTGAAGAAATCAACTGTGGGAGCAATTATTAGGAAATGGAAGACATACAGTGGGGGAAAAAGTATTTAGTCAGCCACCAATTGTGCAAGTTCTCCCACTTAAAAAGATGAGAGAGGCCTGTAATTTTCATCATAGGTACACGTCAACTATGACAGACAAAATGAGAAAAACAAATCCAGAAAATCACATTGTAGGATTTTTAATGAATTTATTAGCAAATTATGGTGGAAAATAAGTATTTGGTCAATAACAAAAGTTTCTCAATACTTTGTTATATACCCTTTGTTGGCAATGACACAGGTCAAACGTTTTCTGTAAGTCTTCACAAGGTTTTCACACACTGTTGCTGGTATTTTGGCCTATTCCTCCATGCAGATCTCCTCTAGAGCAGTGATGTTTTGGGGATGTCGCTGGGCAACACAGACTTTCAACTCCCTCCAAAGATTTTCTATGGGGTTGAGATCTGGAGACTGGCTAGGCCACTCCAGGACCTTGAAATGCTTCTTACGAAGCCAATCCTTCGTTGCCCGGGCGGTGTGTTTGGGATCATTGTCATGCTGAAAGACCCAGCCACGTTTCATCTTCAATGCCCTTGCTGATGGAAGGAGGTTTTCACACAAAAACAGCCCCAAAGCATGATGTTTCCACCCCCATGCTTCACAGTAGGTATGGTGTTCTTTGGATGCAACTCAGCATTCTTTGTCCTCCAAACACGACGAGTTGAATTTTTACCAAAAAGTTCTATTTTGGTTTCATCTGACCATATGACATTCTCCCAATCCTCTTCTGGATCATCCAAATGCACTCTAGCAAACTTCAGACGGGCCTGGACATGTACTGGCTTAAGCAGGGGGACACGTCTGGCACTGCAGGATTTGAGTCCCTGGCGGCGTAGTGTGTTACTGATGGTAGGCTTTGTTACTTTGGTCCCAGCTCTCTGCAGGTCATTCACTAGGTCCCCCTGTGTGGTTCTGGGATTTTTGCTCATCGTTCTTGTGATCATTTTGACCCCACGGGGTGAGATCTTGCGTGGAGCCCCAGATCGAGGGAGATTATCAGTGGTCTTGTTTGTCTTCCATTTCCTAATAATTGCTCCCACAGTTGATTTCTTCAAACCAAGCTGCTTACCTATTGCAGATTCAGTCTTCCCAGCCTGGTGCAGGTCTACAATTTTGTTTCTGGTGTCCTTTGACAGCTCTTTGGTCTTGGCCATAGTGGAGTTTGGAGTGTGACTGTTTGAGGTTGTGGACAGGTGTCTTTTATACTGATAACAAGTTCAAACAGGTGCCATTAATACAGGTAACGAGTGGAGGACAGAGGAGCCTCTTAAATAAGAAGTTACAGGTCTGTGAGAGCCAGAAATCTTGCTTGTTTGTAGGTGACCAAATACTTATTTTCCACCATAATTTGCAAATAAATTCATTAAAAATCCTACAATGTGATTTTCTGGAATTTTTTTCCTCAATTTGTCTGTCATAGTTGACGTGTACCTATGATGAAAATTACAGGCCTTTCATCTTTTTAAGTGGGAGAACTTGCACAATTGGTGGCTGACTAAATACTTTTTTCCCCCACTGTATAGCCACTTCAAATGCGCACTCGCTCCATAATGGGAAAAATATCCTTTCTATTTATTGCAGCTAAGTTCAGTTATAATCTTCTTACTATAAAATCA